GATCCCTGAGGTTGGGGTATGTTGTATGATAACTGATATGAGGAACCACCAAAATAGTATAGGTAACCCTCAACCCTAAGCCCTAAACCCCCTCAACCCTAAACCCTAAACCCCTCAACCCTGAACCCCTCAACCCTAAACCCGACAACCCTAAACCCCACAACCCTGAACCCCTCAACCCTCAACCCTAAACTCTAAGCCCTGAAGGCGTACTGAACCCTGGGACCCTAAACCCTAAGCCCTAGACTCCATAAGCCCTAAAAACCCTGCGCCCTACAAAACCTACAAAATAAATCGTATCATCCCTACACCCTATAAAACGTGTAACTCCTATGAACCCTAAGCCCTAAACCCCAGAAGAAGCCTTAAACCCCCCTATAAAATAAACCCTAAAGAGAAGCCCTTGTGGTCTTCGGCTGGGTTCTTGTTCGGGGTTTTTGTATTTACGTGACCATAATAAAAAGAAACCACATTATTTACTATAGATCCCCATTTATGGCAACTTAAATAAGATCCCCCTGACAAGAACCCAGTCGGGTTCCTTTGAAACCTATGCTTCGGACTCAAGGCTCTCAGAGCCCATCGAGGAATCCTCGTCGAAAATGGTGCCGTTCTGTCCTCACTGCACCCGAAACCCCATAACGCCTGAACCCTAAACCCCTAAACCCCCAAACCCTAAAAGCCCCAAACCCCCTAAACCCTAAACCCCAAAAGCTCTAAGCCCTAAGCCCCCCTAAATAAACCCTAAACCCCTGGGTCTAGATCAGGCTCTTAGGGTTGGAAGCTTGGGCTTTGGGGTTTGGGGCCCAGTGCTTAAAGCTTAATCTGGCTTTAGGGTTTAGGGTTTAGGGTTTAGGATTTAGGGTTTAGGGGTTTAGGGGCTTTAGGTCGCTTTGTCTTCGAAGAAACAACGATGCAAAGCCCTGCAGACGAGCACTGAAGTGGATTCCGAACCCTAAATCAGCAAAAAAACAACAGGTCTGAACCCTAAACACCCTACAACTTCAAGCCCTATCCTAAGCCCCAAAGCCAGCTTCCCCTAAACCCTAAACCCTAAACCCTAACCCTAAGCCCTAAGCCTCGACCTTCGGAGCCAGGGGACTTGAAAGTGTGCTTGTGCGCGATCCGGCAACTTTACCCTCCTGCCAGGGCTGGTGGGTTCCGACTTAAGGCTTCTCGAGGTTTAGGGTTTAGGGTTTGAGGGGGTTTGAGGGGGTTTGAGGGTTTGAAGGCTTGGGGTTTGGGGTTTAGGGTTTGAGGGGGTTTGAGGGGGTTTGAGGGGGTTTGAGGGCTTGGGGTTTGGGGTTTAGGGTTTGAGGGGGTTTGAGGGGGTTTGAGGGTTTGAGGGCTTGGGGTTTGGGGTTTAGGGTTTGAGGGGGTTTGAGGGCTTGGGGTTTCAGGGTTTGGGGTTTGGGGTTTAGGGGGTTTTGAAGGCTTAGGGTTTGGGGTTTGGGGTTTAGGGGGTTTGAGGGCGTAGGGTGTGGGGCTTAGGGCTTGAGGGCTTGAGGGTTAAAGTCTGCGGTTTCGGACCTCAAACCTAGGACTTCGGGCTTTGGGATGTCTTGGGGTTTTCAGGGTTCCCTGAAAGAAGGATCCCAGCTAAAGGAATCTACAGGTGGGGAGTTTAGGGTATATAGGGCTCCTATAAGGCTTCTATAAGGTAGATAGACCATCTATAAGGCGCCTATAACAGTAACTACCCACCTGAAGATGTCCTAGACCCAGGGCGCAAGGTCTAGGATTCCGAGGCGCGTAGGCGAGGGCCTGGAGGCCGAAACTCCCCTACAACTACCCTTCTAGAACTCCCCCAAAGCCATAAAGCCCTAAACCCGCTAAACCCTCTAAACTGGGTTCTTGTTAAGGGGTTTTCTATTTAAGTTACCATAATATGGATCTATAGTAAATAGTGTGGTTTCTTTATTATGGTAACTTGAATTAAGTCCCCTAACAAGAACCCAGTAAACCTTTCAACCATTCTAAACCCGATCGACTAACCCTGTTCGTCCCCCCAAAGCCATCCCACCTGCCAAGAGACGCGCTCGTGGTAACTGCGATCGATGCCTGCAATCTCGTCTTGCGGGTCTACGCGCAGGCCTCTTCCTGAGAAGGGAGGAGTCAAAGGCTGGGGGGGCTTTGGGGCTTGCTAGGTTTTGGGTTTAGGGTTTAGAGTTTAGAGTTTTGGGTTTAGGGAATTAGGGGTTTAGTGTTCATTTAGGGTTTAGGGTCTAGGGTTGTTTGGGGCCCTTAATGATTAAGATAAGCAGAAAAGGATCTTGGGGTATAGTGTCGAATAACTGTGTCGGCGGATGCTTCAGAAGACCGAACGACTGACGACTCCAATGTAGACTGCAAATATCCCGAATGCGGACCGCAGAGAAAGTAGGGTTTAGGGTTTAGGGTATAGGGTTTAGGGTTTAGGGTATAGGGTTTAGGATTTCGGGTTTAGGGAGAACTGTACTAAAGAGGCACGACTCGAGGACGGCGCCAATCCCCACTGAAAGCAACGCCAAGGAGATAGAAGAAAGGCGTCACCACTGCCAAAGACCAGCCGATGATCGACGCGGCACCTCGCATGCTTTGAGCCACTGAACTCCAGCCCCAACGCTACACCCCTCAACTCCACCCTACAGCCTAGACTCTACGAGAGAGGGGCCTTAAGAAATGGAAAAGGTCCGTTCCCTCTGTCCTAAACCCTAAGCCCTAAACTGCAAACGAGGCTTCCTACAAGGATTTATACCTCCAGGGCCCTTAAGAACTGCCCAAGGGAGGCTCCTCAACAGGCTTCCTTCCGGCTCAGCAAAGCCTTGCACCAAACCCTCAACCCCACACATGAAGCCCCTAATGCGAAGTCAACCCTAAACACGAACTGCAGCCCCAAAACCGCGGAAACCTGAAACACTCGAAATCAACAACAGCCTAACCCTGAAGAGTGTTTCGGGCTTCAGGCCGCTTGGGGCATAGGGCTTATCAGGACCCTAAACCCCAAACCCTAAACCCTAAACCCCTCATAAACCCTAAACCCCCCAAATAAACCCTAAACCCTAAACCCCCCAAATAAACCCTAAACCCTAAACCCTAAACCCCCAAATAAACCCTAAGCCCTAAGCCCTAAAAACTTCCATTTCTAATCGAACAGACAAAGGAGGCGCAGAGTAGCTGAACGGCCAGCAGCCGGGGGCTCCCCCCGCGGAAGAGACCGTCTTCTACCTGGCTCTGGTGACTTTTGCTCTTAGGGGGTATAGGGTTTAAGGGTTCAAGGGTTTAGGGATATAGGGTTATAGGGCTTAAGGGTTCAAGGGTTTAGGGTTTAGGGTTATAGGGTTTCTACCTGGCTCTGGTGACTTTTGCTTTTAGGGTTACAGAGTTCAAGGGCTTAAGGGCTTAAGGGGTTTAAGGCTTTGTGGGCTACAGAGTTCAAGGGTTTAGGGGTCTTCTACCTGGCTCTGGTGATTTGTCTTCTAGGGTTTAGGGATATAGGGTTTAAGGTTCAAGGTTTAGGGTTCTTCTACCTGGCTCTGGCGACTTTTCTTTTAAGGGTTTAGGGATATAGAGTTTAAGGTTCAAGGGTTTGGAGTTCTTCTACCTGGCTCTGGTGATTTTTCTTCTAGGGTTTAGGGATATAGGGTTTAAGGTTCAAGGGTTTAGGGTTCTTCTACCTGGCTCTTGCGACTTTTCTTTTAAGGGTTTAGGGTTACAGAGTTCAAGGGTTTAGGGGGCTTCTACCTGGCTCTGGTGACTGTTGCTTTAGGGTTATATTATAGGGCTCAAGGGCTCAAGGGCTTAGGGGCTTAAGGGTTTAAGGCTTTCTACCTGGCCCTGGTGACTTTTCCTAGGGTTCAAGGGTGTCTTCTACCTGGCTCTGGTGACTTTGCTTTTAGGGTTTTAGGGTTACAGAGTTCAAGGGTTTAAGGGTGTCTTCTACCTGGCTCTGGTGACTTTTGTTTTAAGGTTATAGGGTTCAAGGGCTCAAGGGCTCAGGGGCTTAAGGGTTTAAGGCTTCTACCTGGCTCTGGTGACGTTGCTTTTAGGGTTATAGGGTTATAGGGTTCAAAGGTTTAGGGCTTAGGGCTCAAGGGCTTCTACCTGGCTCTGGTGACTTTTCTTTTCGGGCTCAAGGGCTCTAGGGTTCAAGGGTCTAGAGTTTAGGGTTTAGGGTTATAGGGTTTAGGGTTTAGGGTTATAGGGTTTAGGGTGGATCAGGGGTTTAGGGGCTTAAGGGGTTTAAGGCTTTCTATCAAGAGGTTCAAGCCTCATTTACAGGTTTGAGTTAAGGGTTTAGGGCTCATTGAAGGGTTCCTTCAAGTTTGGGTCTAAGGGTTCCCTCCGTACCATGGTGGGTTGTTGTGGGGTTACTGCTCAGCTCAGGGTTTAGGGTTTAGAGCCTTTTTTTAAGGTTTAGGGTTTAGGGTTTAGAGCTTTTGTTTTTAAGGTTTAGGGTTTAGGGTTTAGAGCTTTTAACAAAAACGTGCTTTGGGACTTCCTCTCCGCAGAGGTCGAGCCACAGCCCATAGGGCCAGCACTACTACAAAGCCTCCTCGGAACGCCACCCTTCACGACGATTTGGGCGTACTCATAGAGCTTTAGGGCTTGGGGTTTAGGGTCTAGGGTCTAGGGTGTAGGGTTTAGGGTTTAGGGTTTAGGGTTTAGGTCGGGTTTACTGAGACAAAAAAGCCTGCAAGGGGCCCCGCCTCAATACCCGGTAAGCTCGCGTCTGCAAAGAGGCCCACAGCGATGAGACCCCATATGCCCGAAGCCCCATGGACGCCCACAGCTCCCACGGGATCATCGATGTGCAGCCTCGCTTTAGGGTTTAGGGTTTAGGGTCAGGGATAAGAATTTTTGGATTTTGTTGAGGCTTTGGGGTTCTACGGGGGTGTGGGGAATTGGGGTTTGGGGTTTTGGGGCTTGGGTTTAGGGCCGTCTAAAGATCACGGTTATGCAGAGGTAGTTGAAGGGAGGATGAAGACAATAGCAAGGACACACAGGCTACCGGAAGATTCAATACCGACGGTCTAGGGACGTTGGAGTTTCGGTTTTAGGAGTGGTTTAGGGTTGAAGGTTCCAACCCGACATAGCGAACCCCTGGCAACACTGGCAAAAACCATGGTGCGCCTGTGCTAAACCCTAAACTCTAAACCCAAAGCCCTAAGCCCCAAACCCTAACCCTAAAAAGCCCTAAGCCCTGAACCCTAAACCCAAAGCCCTAAGCCCTAAGCCCTAAACCCTAAGCCCCAAGCCCTAAACCCTCAACCCTGAACCTTCAAACCGCGAAGCCCTAAGCCCTAAACCCTAAAACGCCCTAAGCCCTAAGCCCTAAACCCCAAGCCCCAAGCCCTAAACCCAAAGCCCCAAGCCCTAGAATGGGGCCCCTAAAAGCCCCGCTTGTGGCCGCCTGTACTCGAAGAGATCGTTGCAGGCCAGGGCCGAAATCGAGCCGACGAAACCCACGATCACCGCCTTCTCGGTTTAGGGTTTAAGGGCTTTAGAGGTTTAGGGTTTAGGGTTTAAGGGTTTGGTTTAGGG